CCCCTGGTTAGGGGGCTGCGCCACAACATTATTATTATTTTTTTTTTTACTATTTCTCTACTGCTGCAGCAGCAGCTTTGCAGCAGCTCAAGATTTCCCCTTGGCTAGGGGGCTGTGTGACTGTGGCAGTAGGGTGGCTGATCAAGATCTCAGCCAACCCTAGATCTCATCATCATCCATCAGTGCTGCCGAAATTTTCTGTTTTTTTCTTCCACTTAGTCTTCTAGGCACACGTCGACCCCATGGGGGTAACGAAATGCTGCCGAAATTTTTGACAAATCAGATAGTTCATTTCTCCCTACCTCCTCACCCACTTAATTACTTATTTATTTATTTATTTATTTCTTATTTATTTATTTATTTTTTTAATTTTCTTTTTTTATTTGCGGCATCTTGAACCCTGGTGTGCTCACCTCGGTCTCTCATTTCCCCTTAGCACATTCTTGACCCCATGGGGGGTAGGGAAATGCTCCCGAAAACTTCAAAAAAATAAATATTATTTTTCTTTTCACATTTTGTTTACTTCTTCTCTTAATTATTTTTATTATTTATTTTCTTTTGTTTTTCTTTTAAAATATCGCTTTTTATTTATTTTTCTCCCGCCTCCCCCCCCTATGCTTGCTATTTTATTTTCTTGATTAGGTCACTGGTACCCTACCCTAACCACTTAAACTTCGCTTAGGGTTTTCTTAGGGTTTTTCTAGGGTTTAGGGTTCTTCAAAACCCCCCTACTTCCCCTTCCTCTTCGGGCACCCTGGACCCGAACCTGGCGAACCACCCCTCCCCGTTTGACGGCGCCCGCGCTAGCCTTGCTAGCGCCGTCCGCCGCTTTCTACCGCGGATCCCCCCCCTACGCCCTCCGCTCACGCGAACCTCTCCTATCCCCCTCCAGTCCGGCCCGTCACCTTCCCATGGCCGACGGTGTGTCACACGCCGCCGACGCGACGACGACCACGACACAGGGCTCCACACCCGTGCCGACGGACCAGGGCCACCAGCTCCAGGGGGATCTGCACACCCTCCTCACCCTCCCTCCTTGCACCCATCCAGGCGCAACTCGCGACCCTCGCGCCCTTACAGGCGCAGGTGGCGACCCTTGCCGCCGGCATGCAGCAACTCCTGGATGCTGCGTGTCCTTCATCTCCTGGCTCCCAGTCCGGGTCCCCCGTCCTCCGACAAGGTGGCCACGGAGGAGCTTCCTCCTCCGCCACCCGCGACCCGACCATCTTGGTGACTGTCCATGCCCCTAGCATGACAGCTGCCACGAGCCAGACCCTCCCTCAGTCCACGAGCGCACCCGCCCAGATTCCCGTCACGACGGCCACGGGACCACAACCCGCTACCATGGTCTAAGCTTTTCCGGGTGCCCCGCTTCTCCCTTCCCTTCGCACGACCGCAGCGCCACCTGGCTCTCCCCCCTTTGGGATGCCCCGCGCCGCTTGTGCGTCCACTTCCTCCACTCTTCCCCCTCCCACTCCTTGCTCGACCTACGTTCGAGGTCTCGCGGACGAGATTGCCCAGCTCCGGGCCGAGCTCGCCCTCTTACGCCTTCAGCCATCCCGACCCTCATAGGTGGCCGCGCCTTCGGGCGCACCTCCTACCTCCTCTACTTTTCCTCCCATGTTTGCCGCAACTGCCCCCGCCGCTCCCCCATGCGGCCCGGGCGCACAATCAGTTGCGCCCCTCTCTCCAGGACTTGCGCCGACTTACTCAGCCGTGGCACAGACCTCTGCTCCTCAATCCCCTCGCCGCCAAAATGGTGGCGCACCACTCATCCGCTTGTCGGACATTGCCTTGTATGACGGTACCGGCATACGCGTGTCTAGGTGGCTGCAGTCTGCCACCTGCATGCTCCAGCTCATGGACGCCACACCCGACACGTGGGTGGGTCACCTCTTCACGCGCCTACACGGCGTTCCTTTCGAGGCCTGGGAGGATTTCTACGCGTACTCCCTTCGTGAGGGTCGGACCCCGACCTTCATGGATTTCTAGGCGTTCCTTGAGGATCGCTTCGGAGCCTGATACGACGTGACCGACGCCTTCGAGCATGTCGTCACTACACGCTGGTACGACTCTGGTGGCGCTGCTGCTCTGGATCGCCACATCCAGGTCTTTCAGGACACTCGCCTCACTTGTGACGTGGCATTCCTCCCCGAGACTGCCCTTATCGATCGTTTTTTGGCCATCCTTCCGCTCGAGTACCACTCGGAGCTATGGCGGTACGAGTTCGCATCGGCTCCGCAGGCTTACGAGGCCGCCAGGGACCATCAGCGGATGCGGGCCCGTCTTCACCCCGCCTCCTCCTCCCAGCCTCAGCGCACGGGCTACGCCTCCTCCTCCTCTCATGGCACTTCCCAGCGTCGTTCCCCCTTCCGCGGTCGCCCCCGTCGTTCCTCGCAGCAAGGCCGCCACTTCTCGCGCCGCTTCAGCGCACTTGAGTATGTCGAGCAGGACGCTGGTGCCCCGCTGTCACCAGAGGGTGACCATAGCGACGACCTCAACCTTGGCGAGGCTCTCCACCACCACCTGGAGGACCCTACTCTCCCTATGGCTGAGAGCCTCCAGCTCATCCTCTCCACCCTCTCCCGGGCACGCAGCCGCCCTGGTCACGCTGGGGCATCGCCCCCCGAGGTCCCTCAGCAGGACCTCCCTCAGGGCTTTGTCCCTCCTCGCGGTGTCCTTTCCGCTGAGGAGCGCGCGACTATTTTGGGCCGGCGTGGATGTTTGCGCTGCCGCTTGGACGGTCATACCTCCTCGCGGTGCCCTTACACTACCACCCTCGACCGCCCCTACGCTGACCTTTCCCGCCAGCGTCATGCTCAGTCCGCCCCCGGCGCCTCTCATCCCCGTGGCGCCTCCTAGCCACGGTGCAGTGTACACCTGCGCCCTCCTCAGTAGTGGGTTTCCCGACATCTCCGTCGCGGTTCGCCCCTCTCGCTACTGGAGCTGAGGTATCGCAGGACTCGACAGAGTATACTCAACCCTCTGTTGCAGTACCGTCTGCGCCTCCGCAGACCACCGTCTCCCCTCCTTCCCCGCTGCGATTACCAACGCGTCGAGCCATTCGCTCAGCCCGTTGCAGCGAGCAGCTCGCTACTTACGAGGACGTTGTGTCCTCTCTTCTGCACTTGAGCGTGTTTCAGGCTCGTCAGGAGCGACTCATTCTCCATGTCGCTGCCCTGCGTCGCCTTCTCACCATCCTCTCTGACCCTGATCGCACCCTCCCGATCATCCCAGTACGATTGGGGACCTCCACGAGGGTGTACTTTGCGCTGTGGGATTCCAGTTCTCAGGGCGACTTCATTCACCCCCGTGTGGTGAAAGAAGGCCGCTTACCTACGACTGGGTCTCCGTCTCCCATCTCTGTCACCCTAGGGGATGACAAGACCCAGCGCTTCTTCGATCAGACGGTCACCAACCTCCCTTTCTTCCTCACTCTCGAGCCGACTGATCGTTCCCTGGCGCCTCGTCGCCACCGCTCCTCTGCACATTTCGATGTGATGGAGACGGGGTACGACTTCATTCTCGGCACTCCGTGGTCTCGTCGGTTCCGCAGCACCGAGGCCGATTGGGCGACCAACACTCTCGTTCTCAAAACGAAGTGTGGACAGACGTATCGCGTACCTTTCATAGGTACCACCGCGACACCACGCCCCGATCCTCCTCCCTCGAAGCCTTCCGTGCCCACACCACCTCCTTCTATCATGTCACCTTGCCTCGGCAGTTCGCCCACTTCATCCGACAGGACGGCGTCACCTTCTTTATGATGAACGTGACGGATCTCTTACACTATGATCCACCCTGTCCCGACGCCGAGCTCATCCCTCTGGAGCCAGATCCTCCTTCTATCTCCATGACTCCCATCTCTACTCCCGTCCCCCCGCTGTCCGTCGAGTCGCGTGCCGACGCTGATGCCGAGGAACTCACACGATATACGGCTGACCTGGAGCCCGTAGTTCGTGACCTCATTCGAGAGTACCACGACGTTTTTCCATCGTCGTTCTCGTACGCTGGCATCCCACCGATGCGCGACGTCGAGCACTCCATTCAGCTCGTGCCTGACTATCGTGTTCACCACCAGGCACCCTACGGACTCTCGATCCCTGAGGCCACCGAACTCAAGCGTTAGCTTGAGGAGGTCCTGAGACTGGGTTTCATTAAACCCAGCAACTCCCCGTGGAGTGCACCCGTCCTCTTTGCTCGCAAAGTGGATGGAACTCTTCGTCTCTGCATCGACTACCGCGGTCTCAACCGCTACACGGTTGAGAACAGCTACCGCATGCCTCGTTCCGATGAGTTGTTCGACTGCCTAGTAGGCAACCACTTCTTTACGAAGATTGATCTTCGTAGCAGTTACCATCAGATCCGCGTCGCTGCAGCCGACCAGCCGAAGACCGCGTTCCGATCGCGCTTCGGGCACTACGAGTTTAGGGTGATGTCATTCGGCCTCACCAACGCACCCGCTACCTTCTAGACGGCGATGAATGACATCTTCAGGGACATCCTTGAGCAGTACGTTCTCGTTAACCTCGACGATATCCTGGTCTACAGTCATACCCTTGAGGAGCACCTCAGACACCTCCGCGACGTCCTTGACCGCTTGCGCAGACATGACTTCTACGCCAAGCTGAGCAAGTGCCGCTTTGCCCAGCACAAAGTAGATTTCTTAGGACACTACGTGTCTGACCAGGGTCTCCACATGGACGACGCGAAGATCACTGCTATTGCGGAGTGGCCCGCCCCCACATCCGCCAAGGAGCTTCGCAGCTTCCTAGGCCTGACCAACTACTACAGTATCTTCATCCGGGGATACGCTAGGTATTCCTACGTCCTTATCTCCATCCTCCTCAGGAAGAACCCACCCTGGGCGCTTGGACACCCCTCCACGAGGACGCCTTCCGCGCCCTCAAGAAGGCGGTGACATGTGCACCGGTTCTTCACCTACCCGATTTTGATCGCCCTTTTATCCTTACCACCGATGCGTCACACTTCACTGTAGGAGCAGTGCTTTCCCAGGTCTTCCCCTCCTCTCCTGATTCCTCTCATCCTCGTATCCATCGCTTCCCACCACATACCCCTACCACTGCTTCCCGACTGACGCCTACTCGTCCAGCTACTGACGAGCCTTCTATTGACTATTCTCTTACCATCGCCAAGGACGGCACTGTCGAGTCTTGCTCAGGGGATTGTCCAATAGCCTTCTACTCTCGTCAGCTTCTGCCCGCCGAGATAAACTACACTGCTGATGAACGTGAGGTTCTCGCGGTAGTTTATGCTGCTCGGCACTGACGTCACTACCTGCACGAGGCACCGTTCACGGTGTGCACAGACAACTCTGTTGTCCAGGCTTTCCTGACAAAGCCGAAGCTCACTCCTCGACACGCTCGCTGGTGGCGCGACCTATCCGAGTTTAGTTTCACCACTGAGCACATCAAGGGTGAGACTAATCGGGTCGCAGATGCCTTATCCCGGCGCCCTGACCACGACCAGGAGCAGATCCAACTCTCTTCCATCTCGGTCACCACTGTCCACCACTCGGTGATCGACGAGTTTCGCACTCAGTACCGCCACTGCACCGACTATCGCGACATTCACGCGACCCTTCGGAGTGGCAAGACCGTCCCGAACTACTCTCTCGGGGACAACGGTCTTGTGTACTGGCACGGTTCACAGGGCACCAGAGAGCCCCGTATTTGAGTTCCCTCCACTGGACAACTACGCGTCTGAGGAGTAGCAGAGTTCCATGACCAGGCAGCCGCCAGTCATATGGGTTTCCACAAGACGTTGACTCGTGTGAGCAGCCTGTACGTCTGACCAAAGCGCAAGGACTTTGTGAAGGACTACGTCGCAGAGTGTCCCACCTGTCAGGAGGTGAACAGTGCGAACCACCTTCCTTATGGTTTGCTCCAGCCTCGTCCTATCCATGAGGGTCTTTGGCAGTCCATCTCGATGGACTTTATCGGTCCCCTTCGTCTTCCGACCCCTCGCGGTCATGATGCTATCCTAGTCGTCGTCGACCGCTTCACGAAGCGTGAACGCTTTGTTCCGTGCCGGTATGCCATCAATGCACGTGAGGTCGCCGACATCGTGTTTGACCGAGTCGTGCGTGACCACGACTTACCTCTGAGCATCATATCTGACCGTGACCCGCGCTTTACAAAAAACGATTCTGGCGACGCTCCGCTTCTCCTCGTCTTACCATCCTCAGAGTGATGATCAGACCAAGATCACGAACAGGACTCTCGGAGATATTCTCCGAAAGATTGTTCGTGACGATCAGCAGTGGGATCTCCATCTTGCCCACGCGGAGATAGCCTACAACCACGCCGTCTCGCCAGCCACGGGGATGTCGCCTTACTATTGCGACCTCGGCTATCACCCTTGTATTCCCGCAGACTTCCTTCGACCGTCACAGATGCACCCCGACACCAGTCGTCCCGCGCTGGATGATTGGGTTGCACAGATGACATCGATCATGAAGACCGCACATGAGCACATAGCCGCTTCCCAGACTCGCATGACCGCACGTGCGAACTGATCGAGGATGGATCATCCATTCAAAGTCGGTGATGATGTGCTTATCGACGCCCGCCACTTACAACTCGAAGCGGACACGCTTCGCAAGTTTCGGCATCGCTTCTTTGGCCCATGCGGCATCCTCCAGGCCGTCGGTTCTGATACGGCATCTAGCCTGGTCAGCTTCCGTGTGAAGCTGCCCGACTACCTACGCCAGGCTCGTGTGCACGATGTCTACCACGTCTCGTTACTGCGTCCTTACCGCAGACCGTCTGAGCGTTTCGCTGGACGACCATACGAGCGCCCTCCACCCATCATGGTGGACGGCCACGAGGAGTTCCTCGTTTCAGACATCATTGGTCACCGAGTCACCGACGACAACCCTCCCCACGTCGAGTATCTCGTACGTTGGAAGGGTTACCGTGATGAGGAGGCTACCTGGGAGCCCCTCGAGCACTTGCAGCACGCTCACATGTTGGTGCGTGCCTATGACCGTGTTCATCGTGTTGGGTTCACTGCTCGTCCTCAGCCCACTGATCCTCCTCCTTCTCCCCCAGTTGAGGAGACCGCTGAAGTCGAGCCTGCTCCATCTGAGGCAGACCTTCAGCAGCAGCCGGATGCTTCTGAGCGTCCACAATGCACTCATCGTCGTCCTGCTCGATACGACGATTGACTTTGACTTACCTTCCGACGTCCTTGACTTCTCAGTACTCCACCCACATCAGTTTTGTTACTTCAGCTCGTCGACGTTGCGGCTCTTCCTCTACGGCATTCCGGACTTCTCATCGTGGACATCATTGGCAGCTTCATGGACTTCGTCACGATCAGCTCTACCTACTCCAGACGTCATCACCCTCTTACCACTTTACCATGTACAGTACCCTTCTTGTGTCGCATGATGGTCTCCCTTTAGCCGGGTTCCTCTGAGTTGGGCTCTCCCTTGGCATACGCATAGGCATCGGGACCGTAGCATTGCCCTGGCTTCTCAGCTTACGGATCTAGCTCCCACTTCCCCAGCTTAGGAGTCATCTGCATGATTCCCTTACCCCTCACCTTTCTACCCTTTGCCGGCCCTCACGCCCTAGTTAGGCAGCCCCGCATACTTCATCTAGGTGCGCCCAGTATACCAGGCTCCCTTGTTCCCCTACATGGTCGACCCTCCATAGCGGTCACCCTTTAATCGAGCTTTACCTGCCCTGATGGTCTATCTGTTATGGTCATTGGTTCTATTCGCTCCCAGTTTCCTACCCTCATTGAGCCTGATGACATGTGCCTCCCTGTTATCTATGTGTGGATGCCCTTAGGAGTTTTCGACCCCTAGGCTGCATTCGCCACCCTCAGAGACCATCCCACCCTTTGGTTTGCGACACACTTCTCTTGTGACATATGGTTGACTTGTTGTTGCTTTGTTGCTCTCAGACTGAGGCAACTACCTCTGACATTTCTAGGATTTAGTTGTTCTACTTTTGCTGTTCTTAGGACTTATAGACTAGTCAGCTGTTCCCAGACTGAGGCTACTGCCTCCAACATTTTAGGATCTAGTTGTCACTACTTTCTGCTTTCCTAGGACATGTACACTAGTTAGCTGCTTCTGCTCTTACTTAGGCTGTTATTTGTGACATCGCTGTTTTGTGACATTTTTATATCCTAGGTTGCATCGCATGGACTCAGCATGGAGCTTGCTCCGCATCCTAGACTACTCAGGTTTCTTTTCTTTGGTAGAGTTCCGCTTCTTGGCGGAAGCGTGTTTGCATCTAGGCGATTCGTCACAGGTCAAGGATCGTGTAGCGAACCTCTGGTTGGCCTGTGAGACCAGCCCTTGGGCCTGTCCTCACAGGCCTGTGTTCTATTCGGGGCAGTCCAATCCAGGTCGGTACCTCTGTCAGTACCAGCCAGCCCAGTCCAGTCCTGTCAGTCCGTTGGGGTATACCCCAGCAGTTGTCTGTTTTCAACATCATTCTAGACTTGCACATTTTGGAGTACGTGCGTTGGAGTCTTGCATGAGGAGCTGCATTGTGCATCTTGCTCCCTCCCTTCTTCCTCCATCTCCATCTCTATCACTAGTGGAGCACCACACCTGGTGGGTCCACTACATTGGGATTCTTGGGGAAAAAATGCGTTGATTGACTGGAAGGAGCAGGATATAAAGAATTGATTAATGCTATTTTTGGTTGTAAAGTGCTTGCGTCGTATATTCTCTCATCCGGTGTGTTGTGAATTGCTCTCTCCAAGATCTCTTGTCATTGCTCATGCGTACGGGAACGTGTGGATGCTATGTTGTATCTCATTTCAACTAGGCACATAATAGTTAGTATCAGAGTCACGGTTGAGTGCATCCAAGGGAATAATTAGTGGTCGGCGTCTGTCGGACCAGCGGTTGGCGGTTTGGATAGTGCCCTGTAGTGTTCAACGACATCGGCGGTGACAATTCTCGATTGATTGGTATGCACGGGTGAGAAAAGGAGTTCAAAAAAAAAAAAAAAAAATTGTCTCTCGACTTCATATGGCCCTGACGCTAATTAGGACGTCAACACTAATTAGCCAACCGGCGACCTGAGGGCACGACAACCCTCAAAGTGGCAGGCTCAACCTACTTGGCCAGCCACCAGTTTCGGACGATTACTTGAGGGTCGAATTTTGCAAAAGAAAACTGTTAGTGATTCAATTGCGGTAATTGATTGGAGCTTGTGGCGAGCATTGGGCGCTGATCGACAGTGAGTCAGCCAGGCCCCTGTACTTCGGTCAAAGTTTGGCCAGCGGCAACCTCCAATCAAGACCTTGATCGAGTGAGTTCAATCCAGTGACATGTCCCTCTGGCGATAGTCCGTCGGTCTGTGAGAACTGGTCTATCAGCTCTGTCAGCCCAAGGTCCGTCTACAGGTCAGCAATTGTTTATCAATTTGCTTGTTGTCAACAGGTTGTCAACGGTTTGGCGTTCCCTCTGACCTTAGCCTGCAGCCGACCGAGGGTCTTGAGCCTGCGCACGGGCTATGTTTGCGGTTCCCGTTCTGCTTGTTGGTCTGTCCTGTCATAGTCTTTTGTGTCAGATATGTCGTCAGTCCAGTTAAAGGTGTCCGTCCTAGAGGGTCCGTCATCCATGCCAAAGCGGTC